TTCCCTAAGACTTTTGGGTAGACCCTCTCACAAGTTTTGCCCCCTCAAGTTTTAAACATTGTCCAAATTAGGCACTATCCGGGGGAGGATACCAACTAGTCTGGTTTCCCTTAAGACTTTTGCTTGGGCAGACCCTCTCAAAAGATGTGCAATGATGTGCATATTTTTGTGGGCAGGGGGCCGGGTCGCTGTCGGTTTCCTGCTGGCCTTCTTTTTTAGTTGGACTAGCCGAGCCTATTTGAGCAACAAACGTATACATTTCAAAATGATGCCTGCAGAGGGGGCTGAGTTCATGATATGCATGTGTGCACGCGTGCATGCATGCGTGTGACATGGATGTGCGCAGCATACGCATGCACCTAGGTAGCCAGCGTCCGTGCTGTGGTGGAATCCGTCAGATCAAGCGCCGAGGACTGATGATGACAACTCGCGCATTTTGCGTGGTCGGCTTTGATCAATTTGTGTGCGCGTTTGATCCCAGGAAGCGGGCAGTGCTGCCACACCATGGACATCAAAAATGGCGAAGTACCGGCGCGTCTCCAACAACTCGAGGGACTTCTACAGCAACATCAAGCTGCCACTGGACTGCCGCGGACACACACCGTGTCCACAAATCCCAGCGTTGAAAACCAACTTCTCAGCTGGGTTTTCATTAGCGCCCCCTGTTAGCTGGGACGCCCCCTTGTTTTGTACTTGTTCTACCTCTGCATCGGTCGCACGTGGACAATGCGCGTGCCCCCTGAGGAGCCGAGTACGGTGACCGTCTTGGCCAAGACGCCCAAAGGTGACACATGCCACCAGGACTTCCCACTCATCCTGCCGCACAAACTGTTGGGATTTTTGGCGCATGTGCTTCCTTTGAAGAAGCTCGAGTGCGACGCATTTTGGCAGCACATGGAGGCGGTACACGACCCATGGGCACTGTCTTCATCAGCGTGGCGCTCTGACCACGAAGTGTGGCCAGTTGGCCTGTACGGGGACGAAGCTTCCATGGGTTTCGTGGGAGGTGGGCCAGTAGAAAAGATCATCGGCCTTTTTCTGAATATACCGTTGCATCGACCAGCATCAACGCGTCTATCAAGATTTCTCATCTTCTCCATCTCCTCGGAGTACGTAGTCAGCGCCCAGGACACGTTCTATCCGGTCTTCGACGCGATCGTGAGGAGCTTGAACGCAGCATCCACTGGGGTCGACCCTGATACCGGCGCCTTCTTAGGACCTCGCCAGCAGCGATTCCTGGTCAGTGAGCTACGTGGCGACCAAGCATGGTTTAGATACATTTTCAGGCATCGATCGCACTGGAGCGCTATCGAAATCTGCCCTCGGTGTTCTGCATCTTCCAAAGGCCCAATGGTGTACTCGGGGGACTACAAGGAAACACCTGCATGGGCTGCAACCATGCGGTCGCCGGCGCAGTTCATTGTGGATCAGTGCCCCCTGCCACACTGTGCTTTGGCTGACTTTGTCGCGCTCGAGCAAGTGTTGTGTGTGTGCATGTGTGTGCATGTGTGTGCATGTGTGTGCGGATGTTTGTGTCTCTGTGGCACTGTCTCTCGATTTCTGTGTCTCTGTGTCCCGTCCCGATGTGTGTCTCTGCTGTGTTATGTCTTTGTGTCTGTTTCTCTGCATCTCGATGTCTGTGTCCTATATGTTTGTCTGATTTGTGTTTGATCTGTGTCATGTCTGTGCCTGTGTGTCTGTGTGTGTCTGCGTGCGTGCACGTACATGCGTGCTTGGGTGCCTGCGTGCATGCATGTGGTGCATGTGTGTGTGCATGCAGTGTGTGCGTGTGTGTGTGAAATTCCTGAAAGGGAGGCCATGTTTTGGACAGGATGGTTTCAACTTGGACTCTCGAAGAGGACATGCTTTGGGGCCGGTTTTTGGGGCTGGTTTCAATCCAAAAAGATCTTAGACCCAGTTTAAGCGCACCGCAAAGGGCCCCTTATTGGCAGGTGAAATCGTAGATTATATTTTGCGGGGGATCCATCGACCTGCTAAATTTCGAAACAAAGGAGTATACTAGCGCAGCGCTAGCAGTCAATTGAACTTACGTACTGCCCATGCGCTCAGGCCCGCTGGTTGGACTCCGCTTTTTTGCGGTGAGCCTGTTGAAGCACTGTACGCTCCACATCTGCAATCTGGGCCTGTGCGCCACAGCTTCAGGCTCTTGCCTGATCCTGGGCTGCATTATAGGTCCCCCCTTTGAACCGGATCTGCACGTTGGTGCGCGCGCGAGCAGTGTTCTTGCAACCGCAAATACGGCAGGTGCTTTTCAAGTATAATCGATCTTGAGCGCGTGAATGAGCCCAGTCGGCGCGATAATTATGAAGTCGATGGCCCCATTTTAAAATATACCTCATCCAGTTTTGGGCCGACCGACTCAACTACTTTCAGGATTATCCCAAGCACGATACGATCTATTTTGTCTGAGAAACGTGCAACCCGCACAAATTGAACAATGCATTTTCACCGTTGTTGATGACTATTGCGTTGGAATCGGGGCCAAGCTTGTTCGGAAGAGGGTACCCCATATATAGGACAAACTAATTCAGAAGGGGTTCAACTTGACTGACCTCTTGAGGCACCCTGTTGATGTGGAATCTGAACCAGCTGATTATGTCTGAGTGTGAGGCTGATGCTGATCTGCATGGGCGTCTTTGGGCCGGCAACTCCTGAAGATGTGAGGGGCGCGCTGAACACGTCTTTTGATGACTTCAGCAGCTGGAGGAAGGCAATGGGGTTGCCGTGCTCGCAGAAGCGGTTTACACCAAGACTACTTCTGAAAGATGTTCACGGCGCGCACCTTTCCACTAAAGGGTTCAATGCAAGAATCATCATTGAGTGGATCAGGGATTGCTTGGAGCGGGTTCACACTTCCAACTTCAATGGCCTTCAACCCGGACGCACGCTTCAAGCGCCAGTGCTTGGCGACAATCGGTTGCCCTACTGTTTACTTGCAATGAGCCCCGGCTTCAAAATGGGATGTTTTGAGGGTCGTGATGCTGTGTTAAACAATCGGCTTTCCATATCTCGCTCTCTCTCTCTCTCTCTGCCATTGCTTCCAGAGTGTCTTGACTCAGGAAGGTAACGAAAAGGCGGCATAATGGTTTTACCCTTTGAATTCTGAAACAACGGCCTGTGACCTGAACGGATCGATAAACCCCAATCAACAAAATTTCTGATCCAAGGAATGCCCTGTGCCGATTTTTCGGGCTGATGGAGCGGTCCTCGAGGTTCTTGCGTCTCGGCCGCGCCATTGGGTAGGAGTGAGCACGGCAGTGAGATGACTCCATGGTAGTCCCCTAATAGCCTAAGCAAATTGAAATTTGTTCGAACGATGGGTGGGGTACCGGGTTGATTGATGCGACAACGTGATGTGGCATGGCATTTGCTAGCGAGGTTGAGTAGCCCAAAATATTAATGAGTTGGATGGGCCCCGAAAAAATATTGTGATTGATATTCTGAAATCCCGAGTAAAACAGGCCCCGATTTGATCAGGACGGCCGTCAAGGCAGCAGAGATTGCTCGAGCTGGGCGGCGCTTCATCAAGGAGCACCTCCGCCTCACTTCGATGAGCGCGGCCATTCCGCAGCTGGCATGGGTGTGCGTTCCCAAGGTTCACGCTCCTAGCTTGCATTAACGGTGGGGGTCCGAATTAGCGTACCAATTGCATCAGCACAAATCGCGGGTTCCTAGGCGCTTGCACATGTATGCGCAGATTGCGAGGCTAACCGCCACTTGGCTCAATGCGCCGTATATTGCGCGTTTGTGCGCACGTGTGTGCGCAGTCCATTTTGATCCAAGGATGCAACCCGCGCTTCTACCACACGTTCTGTGATGAAGATGGCATGAAGCTTCTGAAGTCCATAGCGCGCAAACAGTCGAAAGCCCGACGTGAGACTGGCATTGCTCGTGTGGCCCTTTTGCGATGTCTCACTGTGAAGTGGCAGTACCGGTGAAAATTCATAGCGTGAATGAGCGTGAAATTTCCTAAGACCATGTTTACTCGATAAAGACGTATGAGTCGATGTTTACTCATGTCTTTTGATGCCCTGGGTATACATATAGTTATAGCCATGTTGCATGAGTTATTTGCACTTGATATGTAAAGTCTGTGTCTATGTGTGTCTCTGGGTGTGTTGGTTGTCATGCCTTGCGGTGGAATGCCTGCAGCTCTTGAAATAGCCGTTTTGCAGTTTTCGGCCTTCCCAGGCGATTGGAACTAAGGGGCTTTGCGCCCATCGGGAAGAAGTGCCTTCAGGGTTTGCTTTAAACTAATGCATTGGGTTTTTGCTAAAAAACAACCACACAAATATTGGGTTGGGTTGTCAGAATAACCCAAACTTTTTTTATCCAATTGCTGTTTTGCGACGGGAAACAACCATAAATATGCCCAAGTTCTGTTTTAGTTTCGGGAAACCAGGCACTCACTATCGCAGGCAACCAAGGGACAGAATCTGAACATGGAGTGTCGCAAAGACCACCTGATCTGTTGGCTGGTCCTAATGCACAGTAAATGTACCTCAGGATCCACGACCATGACAACGATGCCAACCACGTGCACGGTACTACATATAGGTCAAGTGAGTCACAATCAAAACCTGGGTTGTTGGAGGGTAGTAAGGGGCAATCTCAGCCATAGATGGGTGCGGTCGCCTTCTGAAATTCTCAACATGGTTCTGGGTAGACCATTCTTACACCAGCTTTTGATTTTGACTCGAGTGTTGGAGGGGAAAGCGTTTTGAGATGGCTGTAGGGCATCGCGACTGGGTGGCGCCTTGCTGTTTTCGGTGTGTCACTCAGACCTGGAACATGCGACAATGTTGAGTAATTACGCTTGTTGGAACGTCTGAAAGCGCCTAATAAGCACCAGAGCCAATTGAACAAGAATGGTGGCTGGGGTATGTGCCCGGGTATTCCCCACAAGCTCCGAACCCATTTAGCCACGGATTTTGCGCGGTATCTCCGTTTGGGCTTTGGACATCGCTCTTTCGATGCAGGCCTTGACAAGGGTGGCTCTGCCGGAGAACTTGCTGTGCCTCACTCTCGGGGGCAACTTCAAGCGAAGCCTCGAAAAGGCGGCTCCGGTCGCCGGACTGAGGGGCACAAGGTGACCACTTTCGGCCGTCCGTTGGTTTTTTGTGTTGTTGCTTGAACCGCGTTGTTTTTCAGGGGGGTTCTGTTGGTTGCCTACTCACATGGAGCCATGGTCACCCAGTTAGCCAGAAGTAGTTACCCAGGCCACTTTCCATTTTTTGCGGTGATCCGGCTAGACCCAGCAAACCGTTTTGAAACGAGGATGCTGGAACAGGGGCGTCGACCTAGGATGTTCTCCCGAATCTTGACTTGCCCTCGTAAGAAATGGAAATTCGTGATACCAGAGCAGGAATCCCAAGTCGCAGATGTCCGTATACACAAAATTGGGCCTGGTTTTCCTTCCATCAGCGTTGCCCTGCACTGCGTGGGCCCAAGCCGACGATCCAACTTTTCGGGACTACAGGCGGAGTCGGGGGAGCTTGACCTTCTACGGGGCGTTTGGGCTCCAGAAGTGGCACACGCCCTCCCACATGGAACCGGTCTTAAGAGGAAAACCATCTTCCAAAAAAAAAACCCTCAGGTTTCACGGCAATGGGAGGGAGCCGTGCGACTTTCTTGGAGAAACCAGATGGCCGGCCCTCGGGCGTCAGTCGTTGCTTTAGCGAGCCAAGAAGTTCTGATTCCTTGAGCATCAAGGGCTGAGAGAGCCAATGCGATCAGGTAATCTACCACGTCTTCTGTTTTTCAGGGGACGAAACAGCAACTGGAGGGGGTAACTGTGTGCCAAGCTGATCCTTGCATATGCGTCACCATGTTGTTTTCCCAGAAGGACAAAGGTTGCTGGCGATCCATCAAGCCCTGGTGGATGTGTCTTTTTTGATGGTAATTTTGGGGCTGGCTGCAGGAGAAACTAAAAGGACGCCATTCATTTTGGGGCGTCCGACTCCGATGTTGAGATAAATCCGCTTCCATGGTGATGCTCGTGCTTTGCAGGTGAAGGGTCCCCACGGTCCTGGAGTCCAGGCTTTGCAAGCGGAGTCTTATTTTTGTTCAGGTACAATGCATCCAAATTCTGAGCAGAATATGTGTAAATCTGCACCCCCTCCCCCAAAAGAAAAACAGAGGAAGATATAGGAAGCAACAACCACCTTTTTGGTCTGTGGGAGAATGAACAGAATCTGGAAAGGATGGGATTCTTCTTGGCGCAAGATTGAATCCTAAGAATTCATTGGGGAACATGCAAGAAGAATAGCAACTAATATTGACTTGCCATGATACAGAGAGAGTGTACACGAGGATGAAAGCAATAGATTCATAGAACCAACATGCCAGTGGCTCAAATTAAGGAGCTCAGGTTACGCAGGTGTTGGTCCATGTTGCCACTTACCAGGCTTCCATTTTGGTACCGTTTTTTTGAGCCACAGCCACACTTGACATGTTTTCTTCATTGAAGATCATTTCAGAGAAGATAGCAATCATAGCTCCTAAGAAAGAGCAACATCAACATGTTCTGCAACATAACTTGTGTCATGTAGTCCTAGATCTACCGCAGCATGTCCTAGATTCCTAAGCCTTTCTGATTCTCAATGTTTAAATAGAGATTGACATAACATAGCAAAGTAATGAAATAGGAAGTTAGACAGATTGAGCTTGCCAGATTTGAAGGAGGCTACTTACTTTGCAGATGTGTTTTTGGCTAGATCACACAAGCATAAAAACTGAAAAAGAAACAGCATGGAAACAAAAAGGGAAAGCACGAAAAAAGAATAAACTAAAAAACACCCGAACGACCACACTTCTGTGAAAGAATGTTTGCCAGCTTCCTTTCCCTCTTGGAGGCTGGTTGTTTGTTTTTTCTTTCTTTCCATTTTTTCCGGTTTCCAGCTACCTTCTTCAGAGAGTCTGGTTTCTCGTTTCTTTCGCTTTTCAAGGGTTTTGTCCAGAGCATGAAACGTCCAGAGTGATTGCCCTTGAAATTGCCCTTTTGTGGCGGCGTTTTCAGATGCCCAAAAAAGGCTAGATTGGGCATATAAGTGAATTCTGCAAACATGGTGTTTGTTGGTTTGTTGGTTTGTTGGTTTGTTTGCTTGCTTGCTTGCTTGCTTGCTTGCTTGCTTGCTTGATTGTTTGTATGTTTGTTTGTTTTGTTTTTTGTGTTATTTACAGAATGCTACACATACGTCTATACTGGTTTGTTCGGTCGTGCTCATATCCTCCCCAAAGAGTTGTCAGGTGGCTCTCCCATGTCGGCTCCAGAGCCTAGCGCTGGGGGATTTGTGGAACCACAGCCTCGAGAACGTGAGCCTTGGATGTTTGGTTTGAGTGCCCAGAATTCGGTTCAAACATCCGAAAGGGAACCCTGGTTGATATGGTCCAGGCATTCTTAGTTCACATGCGTAAAGTTCCCAAAATCAATTGGTTCAACAAATGGTTGCCAAGCACTTTGCGAACTACCAGATCATCCTACTGGGTAGTAGTTGCAATCATAATGTGGGCATGGCGTGACCGCTTGTTTAAACAGTGCTATGTGTTCATGTGTGTTTTAATTGTACTTTTATTTTATTATTCTTATTTATGTTTTTGGGTGGGTGGGGGGAGGTGAAGCGAAATGTGAAACACATGTTGGTAGCCGGGGAATTGTATTGTAAGGCAAGCTAATGTTATCAGAGTCAGTTTTTGCACAAGGAATCCCTGTGTGCTTCTTGAATAGGGACGTGTATGTGCATAGGTGTCCTTTTTGGTTGTTTTGCTAGCAAAATAGATGGCCCTGGTTTACCTGGTGGTTTAATCATCTACCAGGGCTAGCTATTTCCCTTAAAAGTACACCTATGTACAAGTGTGTTAGTTCCTTTTGGTTTCCCTTGAACGCCATCCGTTTGAAGAGACCCCCTGGGCACGTTCACAAAGGGATCGGGTTTGCGACGGAAATGTTGGGTTCCCCTTTAAAGCCATCCACAGGTTGGTTTGCTTCCTTTTGAGTTTGGTTTGTACCCGTTGGTATGGAATCCACAACTAACACCTGGATGGATGAAGCTAAAGGGTCAGTCCCAACCAGAAAGAAGTGCCAATATCCACAAATTTCATGCTTACCATAGGTTTTGGGCGGACCCTTTTAGTACAAAGTTTTGATTGCTCACTCAACTTGCCCTTGCAAAGAACACATTGGATTTGTTCATTTCGTATGCCCTCTCGGGGAAATTGGCAACTTGAATATCGTGACTCATTTGCTGAATAGAACCTTTTCTCGTTCCTGGCCAAAGTACCCTCAAGATGGTGCCTTTGGGCTCATTGACCCAACGCCCAAAACGGCAGGGCGCACCTTTTCCGACGTCCCTCACTGTCCCTTTCCGCGCGCCAGCGACCGCCTTCGAGCCCTTCCAGCCGTGTCAACGGATCCAAGGAGCCTGCCGGAGCTGTGGCACCTGCGACTGGGCGCCAGCTTCGACCAGAGCCTCGCAAGCCTCGCGGCGCCCAAGCTCCGAAGCCTCAGGCAAGGCGGAGCGAGAGAGAGCGGGGGGACGGCGTGAAGGGCGGGGGAAATGTGGCAAATCAAACTATTTTGGCACTTAAGGTGGTTCCAGGCCATCCAGTTCCTTGTTTTTCTTTTGGATTTGTTTAGTAATTTAGTGAGTTTAGTGTCTGAGGACAGTCTAGTTGGATGGTTCTATCTGCTTGGTAGAACCGAAAGTGAATGGGTTTTGGTCACTGCTTAGTTGCTGTAAATCCAAACACAGAAGAAGACAACAAGACAAAAGGCATGGATGAATCGGCCGAACGACCTGCTAGAACGACCGTCCCAATGAACCTGTTCAGGGCAGGGGGATGGAGGTGCAATTCCTCAGTTCGATCAACACTTCCAGAAGAGGAGAGGAAGGAACGAAACTTTTGAGAGCGGGCAGGCTTGAGAATGACTTGGCCACAGGACTATCTTTAAGGCCCTGTTCGGGCGTTGGGGAAACCGAAGGGCTGTCATTTTGGAGAATGGTTCCCCAAGACAAACAATACGCGGACTCCCAACAACTTTTGCACACCTAGCTTCCTTTGCTCAATGTCGACCCCGCCCAGTTATAAATCAGGTGTATTTTTCCTGGAAGAAAGGAATCCCGCTAAAAAGGGAACCCCCCTTGAACAATAGCTGGGCGGGTTAATTATTAATCAGGGGGTCAACATTGCAGGGAACAGCACAGTTTGACGGCTCACACTGGTAGTTCCAAACTCACCTGAGGATAGAACGCAGTAGCCCATTTTTCCAAAGGTTGGTCTTCGTCTTGTCGGATTCTGCTGGTCCAAGCGGGCCGGCCACGGTGCCACCCTTTTTGCCTTTGTTCTCGGAGAAGAGTTTGCCTTCAGAATACACTTGAATAAACCAGCAACATGAAGTTTTTGGTCCACTGTTCCAGGTAATTACCCCATGTTCTTACCCAGTTTTTGTTCGTTTGAACTCCGTGTTCGGTTCTCTATTTCCTGCAATTCAGTTGTTTGGCACCCCGTTTCCCTTTTCGTTTGGAGGGTTGCCACTAGAAAATGGTGAAAAGGTTACCGTTTTCTACCAGGGTCACTGGGCAGCTAAACTTGCAGAAGTTTTGGTCGTAACGCGAGGATTCTTCAGCATTTTTCCGGAGAGTAAAGTGAGGGCTTGGCGTTGGATTCTTTTTCTACCGTCAGATCAACCCGCACAAAGAACTTCCGTGCGCGAGGCTGGGGGAGAAGTTCAATCAGGGACTGGAGAACCTGTCCTTCCCCAATCTGGAGACCTTGGAGTTCGGGGACAGCTTTAATCAGCCCATGGATCTACATCTCCCGCGGCTTCTGCACTTGACCTTTGGGGCGCGCTTCAACCAAGGCCTGCATGCCGATCTTCTGCCGCTGCTCGAGCGGCTGAAATTCGGGCATGACTTCAACCGGAGCATCCCAGTTGCCCAGTGGATTCTACACCTTTGTTTTCTTTCGGAAGGGTTTCTTCCATTCGAACTACGTCATCAGCAAAAGCGACCCTCACCAAAGCACCCTTTCCTTGCTCAGGGAATGAGTTGGAATGACCCTCATAAAGCATTTTGTGTGGTTTCCTTGAAGGGGACCAAAGCTTGGGTTCATTCAGGGTCGTTCCCTACCTATCGCACCAACCCTGTCCGAGCTTCTCTGAGGCACTGACCTACCACCAAGCCTTCAGCACCTGGAGTTCGGGTACTTCTTCCAGCAGAGCTTGGACAAGGCGCCCGGATCACTTGCAAAAGCACGGCTCAGGTTGTTTTTGGCGGCTGGTTACTTTTGCTTGAGGTTTGTTTGATTTCCCCCTTGGTTTTAAAGGGAATCTATCACTGCTGGAAATATGTTTATTTGTCCAGTGTGAAGGAACTCAACTGGGGTGGATGCCTTTATGATTGTTCCTCACAAGATTACCGTGTGTTTTTTTTCCCGATGCTTAGATGGTCTGGGAGTTGACTAAGTGGTTACCTAATGCCCTGGTTGTAACCCGCCAAAGGCACCTTTGTAAGTCCCCTATAGCCAGGGTTACTAACCATTTGGCGCTTCGTCCCTTGCACAATCTAAGCGGTCATTGGTTCCCAAGGTGCGCTTTCCCAGCTCCCTCCGAAGCCTTTGCTTCGGGCACAGCTTCGATGGGAGCCTGGTGCACGCGACGTTCCCGGAGCACCTTGAGCACTTGACCTTCGGGCACAGGTTTGATCAGAGACTGCAGGCAGGGCTCTCTCTCTCTCACTCTCGCTCTCATTCTTGCTGGTGCTCAGTAGGGAATGACCCTGAATTAACCCATGGTTTCTTGGAGAAACGACCAGGGATGGTCTATGGGGGGTCATTCCAACTCATTCCCTGCTGGTTCTCCAGCCAGCATTTGCCCTTTGTGCTCTCTTTCCCCAGCTGAAATCTCTTCGGACTTGATCTTTGCAGACATATCGGCTCGATGTCTTTCCCCGGTGGTTTGGAGAAGCTTTCAGGGCTTCGGTTCAAAGGAATAATTTCGGTTCCAGCGGCCTCCCTTTGGGCTGTTGGGGATATCACCTATATCGTGGGGAACCCCCGAGTTTGAGACACGCCCAAATGAAAAATATGTTGGCCATTCTTTAGCGACAGCTTCAGGAAAAGGGGAAGTCCCATCCAGTAGGTGCGGATTTGCGGCCCAAGAACCAGGTTTGGATGGTGACTGAGAGTTCCCAAACCCCTTTAAGCCCTGAGAACGAGTTCATTCCGAACCTTTCACAAGGATGGCGGCTTTGTGGTCCTGTGGTTTTCTCCCTACTTTTTCGTTCCTCGTGTTTCTCATGTCAGGCAGCCCTTAGTTGGTGGTTTGCGATTTGTACCCCCGGTTCTTCCCATGACTTTCCGTTGGCCACGGCTTTTTTCCCCATCGCCGTCCCCTTGCGGAGAAGGCGTGGCAACTCGCGTCGACGCGTCGTCGCGTCGAGGGGCTGCCGTCGGGGCTGCGGCAGCTGACGCTGGGGGCCAACTTCAATCAGAGCCTCGGGGAGGTGTTGCCCAGGAGCCCAGATGTTTTTTTTTTTTTTTTTTTTTTTTTTAATTTGGTGCCTGTTTCGTTGGTGGAACAGAGAGGAACAGGTTGTCTTTAGGGTTGAGGTTGATAGGTTTTCAAGGGATTTGGTGCCATGGTTGCTTGTTGAAGGTTTTTTCAGGACAGCCATTCAGCTTTCCGGGAAGGGGGGCGTTGGCTTTCGGTTTCAGCTGTGACTAGCGAGAATGGCGCCATTTGCCAGAACTTTGGGCCTGGCTATTCGGAGGCCAAACTTGCAATTTTCTGCAAGAGCGCTGCCTGTAGGGTTTAGGGTGATAGATCCCCCATTCTAGGAAAATGCATTTAGGGGGGGGGGACCTAGGCACCTTATGCATTTTATGTTTATGCATTTTTCTCCCAACGTAGAATCTATAGTGCGCTATCATACGTTATTCGTGAGATTACATGAGATTTGCTTTGCCATCATGTCTGGTCACATGTTGAAACAAGTGTGAGAGCATGTATGTGAGAGCATGTGATCCTTGGCGCCACCCCGGCGCCACCTTTGTTGAAAGCCTAGCATTTTATTGCAGTTCTTTTGCGCGGGCGAAAAACAGCCGCCTGACTCCTCGTGCATCTCTTTACTTTGTTGGATTCCTTCATCCCGGTGGCGTCTCGAACCCTTTGGTTGCACTTGGGACTAGTGCATCGCTAAGCCATCGCGTTAAGAAAAAGTGCAAATCCGCTTACGCCCAGCGGCCGGAAGCAGATTTCGTGGCGCGGCAGCAGATTTCCAGCCTGAAATCCGCTAGCACGCTGGCAAATCCGCTTACGCCCAGCGGCCGGTAGCCGCCCAGCGGCCGAAAGCCGCTCACGCCAGTTTTGGAAATCTGCTACCGGCCGCTGGGCGTAAGCGGATTTGCCAGCGCGCTAGCGGATTTTTTGCCAGAAATCTGCTGTCGCACCACGAAATCTGCTTCCGGCCGCTGGGCGTAAGCGGATTTGAAGGACTGCGCAGAGCGCTTGCGTGCAGCGGATAGCGAATGCTGAGCGGCTGGGTGTTGAGCGCGGAGGTATTTGCGACCAGGTTCATATGTAAATAGCCATCACTTGAGTCATGCGAGGGCATGCAAGGGTGTGTCACACAGGTGCTCCATTTGTGGTCTTGCCTGGATAACGATACCCAACAACGCTCTCCAAGATGTAGGTCAAAAAACACCTAAGTTGGTCGATGTCAAAAGTAGGCCTTCAGCCCAAGCTGAGCTTTACAGGCGCACTCATTCCTTTGTGTCATGTCCTGGCTCCCGGATGTCGAGGGGGGACCTTTAAACTGCAGATATGCATTTTCCAGGTCCCCCACCCCTTCTGAGTAGGGGATGGTGATAGGTTTTTAAGGGACTTTGCTGCCCAGGTTTGCCCAAACAAGCGGAACCCAGGGCAGCCAATGGGAAAACTCAGCGTTCCTAAAACGATGTGCTTTTTTCGTTCATCAAAACCGATGTTAGGTATAGTTCTGGGAGGGCTCAGATCAGTGAGGTTTTTCCATGAGATATGTTGAGACGTGTTGAGTGTGTTTCAGATTGTTTGATATTTTCATGAGGTTGACAGAATTCGCGTGGTTGTTGCTAAATCTGAGAAAACCTGGGTAGCTTCAACCAATTCCCTTGAGTTTTAGATTGAATCTACCAAAGTCCATGTCTGTTTCGGGGATGAGGTCATCATGTCTTTTGTGCTGCTACTTACCCCAACAATAATGGAAATGCAGCTTGCATGCTTATGTAGTTAAGTTGTGTGTCGGCCCGCAAGGCACGTCGCGCACACACACACACAGACACACAGGCACCACACAGACACCACACAGACACCACACAGACACCACACAGACACCACACAGACACCACACAGACACAACACAGACACAACACAGACACCGCACAGACACCACACAGACACCACACAGACACACACACACACACACACTGACAGACACACGCAGACACGCAGACACGCAGACACCCAGACACGCAGACACGCAGACACGCAGACACGCACACACACACACACAGACACACAGACACACAGACACACAGACACACAGAGACACACAGACGCACACAGACGCACACAGACACACACACACAGACAAAAAAAAAAGACACACACACACAGACACACACAGACACACACACACACAGACACACACACAGACACACACACACAGGCACACACAGACACACACAGACACACACAGAGACACACACACACACAGACACACACACACACAGACACACACACAGACACAAACAGACACACACACACACACAGACACACAGACACACACAGACACACGCAGACACACGCAGACACACGCAGACACGCAGACACCCTGACATGACTTGGTGACTCAGAAGCGGAGGCGGAGCAGCTTGAAGCGGCTTCATGAACCTCCTGAGTTGGGGCCATGGCATGAGCACTCATCACACTTGACATATTGACTTGAGCCTCAGGGCCAGCTGGTTCTGAAGGCAGCAGCCACCAGCCGCTGTCTGTGCAATGACGTGACAGTTGCTTTTTTCACTTCGCGGTGTGGCGTGCCAGCACCTGCAACTCTTCACATGTGAAGTATTAGGACGACACCTTGCATTGGGCACTTGGTCAGACATTTGGCACGTGGCGGGCACCTGGACAGGTCTCATCAGATGATCTCAGTGCTCTTCTGTTGCCCGCGTGCTGCATGAAATCGGAAGACGCAGCGAGACTCCAAATTTGAACATTCAGCGACTTGACGACCTGTGAAAACCATCTTGGTGTTCAGCCAATGCATCCTCAGACATGTCTTGATTTAAGCTCATGTTGTGGATGTGCAATGCTGGGCAGAGTTTATATGACATCACCCACCCACACACCCGCCCGCCAACCAACCACCGCAACCAACCCCAACCAACAAAAAACTCACCCACCCAACCAACCAACCAACCACAACTGACCAACCAGCCAAACAACCAACCAACCAACCAACCAACCAACCAACCAACCAACCAACCAACCAACCAACCAACCAACCAACCAACCAACCAACCAACCAACCAACCAGCCAACCAGCCGCCAACCAGACTAGCCAACCAACTTGCCCAACCCACCCACCAACCCACCCAATTGCCCAACCGAAAGGAACAACCATGGCGCCTTCTTAAAACTCGGGTTAAATGACAGTCCCCTTGCCACACATTATGTGGTGCGGATATCTGGCCTTTTAGTTCTTTACCACGGATGGGTCTGGCGGGAGCAAATACCAGGTTTTGATTGTTAGTCATATGAGGGTGGATCGAACACGGCATAATCTGTTGGGGGCCAGGAGTATTGATCAACCCGCTTAAAGGGAATCAAGTGAAACCATGATGCATGCACGCTTGTTTGACATGAAAGCGGTCAAAGCCCGTATCGTTTTCGATTGGGGAATCAGCTTGTTTTCCATTTATGACAGGAGGGGACAGGTGTCAAAACTAGGGTACGCTTAAGGAGGCGCCGGCCACCGATCTGATAGGGCCGTTGAAAAGTTTTTGACCCCATGAATTCAGGGAGGTTTCTTTGGGATCAGCATTTCAGTCTACCCTGGGGTGGTCAAAACCGGACCCTGGATAGGGTTTCTAAATGGTTCAAAACCAGGGTTGCTGACCCCTTACACCCAGAGAGTCACCTCATTGGTCGATATGTCACAACCCTCCTCCATTTTTGTGCAGAAAATCAAATTGTGTCATCTCCCCATAATTTTGGTTGGGTCCAGGTACCCTCACGTCAGGAGTCTGCAGGTCTTGACCTTCGGCTTTCGTTTCAACGAGAGCCTGGATGCAGTTCTTCTGCCCGACGGCCTGGAAGATTTGTCCTTCGGTTGGAGCTTCAACCAAAGCTGCGAGAACGCCGGGGGCCCTGGGAAACGAAAGCGAGGGAAAGTGCAGCCAAGTGGTCTTGGTGGTTCCCAGCCATCCTTAGGTTCTGAAATATGTTTAGTTGGCTTAGTGGTAGTTTCCACCAAACCACTAAAATTTAGACCTTAGCAGGGGATCTGGGAACAGCCCAGTTGTTCATGATCAAAGGAAACCAAGCTCATATCAATTTTCTGTTTCCAGACGTGGACCTGACTAGCCAGTCATTCTTGATGCTCCCGGAGAACTCAAACAAGAGAGTCCAGAGCCCCTATTTTGGCCCAAGTGTAGCCCTGTTTGCGAGGGGATCCTTGGATTGATTCACCAACCCCCATCATATTCGAACTTCAGGAGTCCTTCTTTGTCTCCCTATCCCCGCAAAACGAGGGTCCGAAGTCCAAAGTCAAAGGTCTCTCTCTCTCTCTCTCTCTCCCTGTCTCTCACTCTCTCTCTCTCTCACTCTCACTCTCTCTCTCTCTCTCTATAGGAGGACAAGTATGTGTTTAACACACTTTCCCGCAGAATCAAACGTTGCGGTTCCGAGTCCCCTTTTCCAGGTTGGGTTCCCTTTAAATGGCGCTGGGACATGGTCCCCCCTTGGCCATGGATCCTCGTCTTGCTTGCGCTAGAGGTCAAGTGGCCGGTGAAGCTTCGGCGCCTGAGCTTCGGGGCCAACTTCAACCAGCCCTTGGTGCTGCCGGGAGGTCTCGAGACCTTGGTCTTGGGGGAGAACTTCAATCAACCTCTGCAAGGAGCTGACTGCTTCTGGATGTGTGGCCCCTTTTTTGGGTAGTGAAGGGAATTAACAGGAAGACAACCAAGCATTTGCTACCGGTTTTGAAGGTTGATGGATGTCGGCTTTGGAGCCTGCGGCTAGAACTACAAGGTCGCATTTCAGTAGCTTGGATTTAGCCAATCTCTCAGAGACTGTGGCTGCACCAGCGGCGAATTGTTCTACATGTTTAAACGGTTTCGGCGTGTCGAAGTGCAAGCGCGCAGCAACCACGGATCTCGACTGCATCTCTGGGGTTTGGTAACAAGCATGGTTATAACCTGCTTGCACAAGTCAAACCTCCAAGTATAGTGAGGCTATCACCATGGTTTTACTCACTCCCGAGTTCCGTTTCGGACTGTAGACTTGGAAAGACCGATTTATTGGCAAAGAAGTGTGGACTTTCCAGTGCCATCCCAGAAAGTCAGTGAGGGGACCAAAACTTTCAGGCTCACTCGAAATGGCGGAGGTGAATGTGGATCATGATTCCCGGCCGGTGCGGCCCCCCGGTTTTGACCCTGGGTAACTTTTTTCAGTCACCAAAGGCAGTGTTTGGGAGATCATGTCTCCTTTTCTTGGGTTTCCCTTTGCGCTACCCAAACAAGGCACCCCTCCATGAGTTTGTTTCCCTTGGACATGCACAGGTCTGCGATACTGACAACGTATTGATCCAAGATTCCATTTCTTCTCGACATTGGTTTTGGACCTTGGGTTTGCCTGTACTTTGGGGGGCCAACAATAACATAGCCCAAATGGTATCCCCTCCGGACCTCTCCTGGCTGCTCCCAACCATCCCGAACGAGCTGCGCAGAGACCCCATAGCTTTCAGCTGGGGGATAAACACAATGGGTTCTGGACCAATAAGAACAGGGTATGGCTCCAAATTGAAGAGCTAGGGCTACGCAGGTTTTAGTCTTTGGTTCCATTGACCAAGGTGCCAAATTTTGGTGCCACTTTTTTGAGCCACCGCCAACAATTTGGAATCGGTTCTGGACCGATTCCTTCTTCTTTTAAACAGAAGCCCCCTCCGAGGAGTGAACTTCCCGCGCCTGAAGCACCTGACCTTTGGGCGCCTTCACTGCGGTTGGCAGAATGTTTTTCGCTTTCCTCGTTGCCTTTGGTTTTGGTTCTCTTCATTTTTAGTGGGCTGCAAAAAGCAGATTAAGAGTTGTTTGCTACCATAGGGTGGATGCCCCTGCCATGTTGCAAGAGAACAAAGCCACACAAAATCCTTGCGGATATTTTTTTGCAGGGTGTCCTTTGTTGCCTGCAATGGTTGACCTGTTGCAAGTCAACCAGCCACAAATTCCCCGGATATTTTTTTGTGCAGGGTGTCCTTTGTTGCCTGCAGTGATTTGGCCAGCGAACGAGTTGGGGTTAGGTACCGCTTCGACGAGACTTTGGAAAACGTGGGCTTGCCCAGCCTAGAGAGCCTCACCTTTGGGAGCTTGCTCCTCATCATTGAAGTCCGGAGATCGGATATCCAAAACATTAAATTCGAGGGTAGGTTTAAACAGAATCTAAAGCGGGCTTCCATTTTTTGTTGGATGATATATATTTGTTTTTTTCGGTTGAGAATGGATTCCCTCACCTTCAGATGGTGCCAGATGGTGCCGATACGTATCGGAAATGGCCGAAGACATCCGTTTCTTTGGGCTTGACACCGAAGGAAAAAATAAAACACAATTCTCGGACCCGAAGACTTATTCGGGTGTTGATTTAAGGACCCTCTTCGGGACCCTCTTCGGGGATTTGCCCCAAAGATTCGAGCCCTGGAAACCCATGGGAATGTAATCAGAAAACCAAGACGCGTTTTCAGCCGGCTGGAAAGAATGTGTGGAGAGGAGGCACGGTGTTTTTCTCCCAGATGAGGTTCTCCGTCGATTGACAGGGGCACCTGTTTGTGAGACGATGCTTTTGCTTGTTTAACGTCTTCCTGTGAATTCGCCAGGTTTCACAACGGGTTCAGCATTGACGAGTGCCTTGCTTGTTGCACTGATCGTAAAGTACTTTCACATTGGAGCCTTTGATCGTGCGATGAAGCTTTGTTGTTCTGCATATGAATTTCATGTTCAACGGGGTCATTGTTGATTGTGCTGACCTGGAAAAATCAAAGCGACAGGTGTTCTACCAGTTTGTGTTCGGATGCGTTCGAATGCCTTTGTGGTTTCACTAATTAATACAAAGCAGGGCTCCGCGCGAAGCAACCCACGTGAAGCACAAGCACTGTTTGGAACTCCTTGCAGCTAGGGGAAAAGGCCCACAAAGTGGGGAAAGCATCAGCAGGCAGGTCCACTAGGCCATGACTCCAACACCCCGGGCTTATAAGCAAGGGCGGGAGGAGTTTCACTCCGGGGAGGGGCCAAGATCCAAATGCACTACTTATGATGCGCTCAGTGAAGCTTATGTGGTGCTCATGTGAAACATCGTGCAAGACATATGGGCAAGGATATGCCAGGCCAAACACTGCCTCACAAATCAAAACCAGATCTAGGTCAAACCACAAAGCGCTAGTGCATTCTTCAATTGCAACCTCAGTGTCGTTAACAATTTCCAAGGTTGGAAAGGAGTGAGCACAACATTGAACCTATTTGAGATTAGCCTTTGCATCTCTAAACGCCAGTGTCAGTAACAAAAGCTGTTAGCACAGAACATCTCAATACCGCTTGCAGTGGGTAAGACCCACATGTGCTAAGTCTAGCTTCAGGCAGTTTCTCTGCACTGGCTGTTACAGACCAATCTGCACCTTGGTGGTTTCCGTTGGAAGGTACTCAGGTGTCAGGCTCCATGTTGCCTTTAGAAATCCACTCGGGTGGGCCGATTCGATGTCAGCTTCCAGGTTGGTTGACTTATACCTATACAGCCCACCAGGTTCCACATCCAATCATGGTTCAAAGGGCAACCAAAAGGAACGCCGCATCGGTGCACACCCCAGCATTTGCCATTGAACCCCGTGTTTGTCATACCCTTCCCTCCCCCCCTCTCCCACCCAAAAATAGCACTCTAATCGGGCCTTGTGGGGGTCCTTTGTCGGAAATCCCAGAGATGTGGGCACAGACCAAATCCATAGCTTTCAGCTTTTCAGCTGTTTGGGTGCTTGAAGAACACGCACCAAGCTACGCAGCTTGCCCACAGTTTTGGCCATGTCCCAAATCCCAACGGAAACTGAGCAGCTCTCTGGGCCCTGGTGGCGGGATCCCGAGGTTCAACCGCCCCTTGGAGGCGGTGGAGCTCCCTCAAAGCCTGCGGAGCCTCGCCTTCGGGGACCGCTTTAATCAGCCGCTGGAACACGCGACTTGGAAAAAAAAGCTTGGAGCTTCATCGGCCTCCTCACCTTCCTCCTCTTTTTGTTGCTTCTTTTACCCTCCTCCTCCTCCTTGGCTCCTGGTGCTTCTTCCTCATCTTCTTCCTTGTCCCTCCGTCTTCTGCCGCTCTTTGCGTTTTGGTTCACCGCCTTGGCGCGTTTGTTGCGAGGTGCGCCTGCCTGGGCGGCTGGAGCACTTGGTCTTCGGGGGCAAGTTCAATCGGAGCCTGGACCAGGTGGGGAAGCGGGTTGCACAGACGTACCAAGTCCCTGACTCTGACAAGAGGCGTGTCTTCCGTTTCCTTAAATGTATTGTTATGTTCCCCTGTTGGTTTTAAAGGAAACCAATTTCACTACTGGACTTTTGGTTTTCTTGTTTTTTTGTTTGTTTTTGTTTTTTCCCGGTGGGCTTAAGCAAGTGGAAGTTGTGAAAACTACTTTGGTCTTTTGGGGGGAGGCCCGGAAAGGGCTGGCAGGATATCTTGAGGATACATTTGGTCAAAAGATCACACAACTTGCCCAATGGATAGACGGTTTCTCATTTCAGTTTTCTGTTGGTACCCAACTACCCTTCAGGGTTGCCTCCGTTTTTTATTTGTTGAAGCTCCAAAAGTGGCTTGCGCGGTTCAGTTCGGAAAGCAAGAGTAGTTGGCCCCAGTCTGTTGCCACTATCAACGTCACCCCCTGTATGATGGGTTAAACGGAAACACCCCCAACTTCTGACTTGGATATTCCCCAAAGCAGGACCAACATAATGACTTCCAGACTAACTTGACCCCATATCAATCAACCTCAGTTCATGAGTTAATAGGGGGTGTTCCTGAGTTCAGTGGCAATTCATCACTTTTGGAAGGGAACATCCCTATACTCACAAGCTGCGGCTGCTTAATTTGACGAATCTGGTTGGGTGGAAATCCAGTGATCGACCCGAAGGTGCGGCTTCCCCAGTCTTTGAAGCGCCTGAGCTTCGGGGAGAAGTTCGACCGGCCGGTGGACCATCTGCCGCAGTCCCTTGAGGCCCGAGCTGCTTTTTTGTTTCTTTTTTTTCTTTGGGGGGGGGGGGGTGTTAGGGTGTTATGGGGGGGGTCTTTTGGGTGGCTTCCTGGGTTTTGGATACGCTTGCCAACTGATTACTCCAAAACACATTTGTAGGCGTTTGGGGGGCGGTTCCCGGCTTTTGTGATCGATGCCGACTCCAGAAATTCAATAAAATCCAAGCATGGTTTGTGGTTGATGTAGTTGAGATATTCAGGGCATCCACCGGTGGACACAAGGGAACGATCAACACCCCGTGCTCAGAGTTTGGGATCCGTTGACTTGCATTCTCGCTGTGCCTTGTTTGGATTGTAGCAAAGGAAGGCCACCAATACTGTGGATGGACGCAATCCTGCACCACCTAAGAAACCCTGGAATGATGATTCCCCTGTAAATACCCACAAACATTGTTTTTCCCATGGTTTCAAAGTGGTGCGAAATGGATTTCGCTTTTCCATCCACAGTATGTGCTTTCGGGCGTGGCTTTTGGTTCATGGTCCGTACCCCCTTTTGGTGGTGTTTCTCATGCGGAAACCAAAGGGAGGCCGTTCCAATTTCGGCAGTTATGTTGATCATTTTGATCTGGGCTCACTTGGTTCCGTGTGGCTTCTTTGCTGTTCTTGGGACCAAAAAGGGACCTGCTGAAAGCCAGGGCTTCTTTCCTGGCCGAACAATATGTATGATGTAAAATCGATATTGGTTACCTTCTTTGGTTGGTTGACCTGTGTAGAATGATGTACCCCCCCTACCCTCTTTGGGGCGAAAACCGCACGCCTCTTCAAGTCGCAGCTTTTCCGTCGCGAGGTCCTCCACTTCGGGGAGGACTTCAATCAGAGCCTCGACTGCCGCCTGGACTCCTTGGTCTCCTTGAGCCTTGGGGAGAACTTCGACCAGAGTCTAAGCTCGCGCCGGCCTCGGGCCTCGGGCCTTGGGCCTCGCAAGAATTGGTTGGACCTACAGGACCCTCGTGGGTTTCTGGTTGGTTTCGCTTTCAACCAACCCCAAAAAGATACCCTCTAAACACATAATATTTACCTGGACCCCCAAACAGCAAAGAATGATTTGTAGTTTGGCCTTGAGCAGCTCCATGTAGCCTGCAATACAAAGCCTCCCACGTGTTACCAAGGCTTTGTGAGGGGCCCGCCAGTGCATGATGCATGTATCCTCGCATGATTTTGCCCGCAAACCGCAAAACTTGTATTCGTGTGTTGTTGGGGAGCTTATTGAACACGAGCATAATCATCCATGCACATTGGCATCATCAGCAGTGACAACTTCTCGACACAACCGCCTGTTTATTGGACAGAACGACAGGAGTATTTGTACGAACCGCCTATAGAAGCAAACTCGCCCAGTTATTCTATGTCATTTGAGGATCAAGGTATAATATATTATTTCCAAGTCAAACATCATCTACAAAGCAAAGCTTTAAACTGCCCCAACACGAGAACACCAAAGGGCGGAACATAGGGACTGAGACCCCTGAAATGAGCCATCAGCGTCAGTCTCTTTCGGTTCGCGAAGTCCGGTTTCGGAGCACTCGCTTCCTGAGTTCCTGAGCTTTTTTAACTTCTTGGCAAGACCAGTTTGGTGGTAAATAAAATTTGTTCCAGAACTTTGTTGGCCCATCCACTCAGGAAGGAAGATGATGTTTCTGAAGTTTAGGATAAGTGAAGCTGCAGTTCCCGGGTACAATCCCAAGCTGTGGAGAGGAGGTCCGAGCGACTCCAAGCATGGCTTTGGGTAGACTGTCCATCAGGCCCCAAAGGGAGACTCCCCAACTGGGGGTTCATCAAGTTGGGTGTTCGAACGGGCGTTGGTTTTCGCTTCTGTCATAGGAACCATTGCTCCCTTCACACGGAGAGAAAAGGGGAAAGCAGCATCAAAGTGGGCAATTTCCACCGCAGAAGCTGTTTTACATGGTGCCCTCATTTAAAATTTATGACAACCGCCGGGCTGAGGCCTCAGCCATTTGAGCAGAACGCACACCTTGATTCGACTACTCAAGTGGCCTGTGAAGCAATCTTCGAAGGCTGGCCGCCGCAGTTGGCCCTCTGCAACTGGCTGTTGCAGCTGGCCCCCGCAAACTTCTGAGATGCTGCGCAGAGCAGACTTTCCGTGAACAAACTTGCAGCCATTTCCAGCTGTTTCTTTTCTTTGCAGCTTGGCCACGTACTTCGTTGGGGCCTCAGCTTGTCATGATCCCTCAGCCATGGCTGATCAGCCTCGGCGTCGGTGTCCAGGAAACTATGCAGCTACCTTACATTGCATGTCGCCAGCATGTATTTTGTTGCTCCTATTCTAATTCTTGCCAAGGACTGCTCGTATTTGCCGGAGCCGTGTGATGATTTCATTTTCAGGAGCTGACGTGGGAATGGGGGTGTTGCCCGTCACCGTGGAGGCCAGGCCTGATTGGGCGCGATTCGACAAGCTGGAAAAGGCCGCTCCAGAAAAGACGGCGCAGAGAGAAAAGAGTTTTGATCAAGGTGTGATCGGTGAGACCTGAATTCACTGCTGCCAGTACGATCGGCGACTCGGAGAGCTGGAGCAGAGCGTGGCAAGCCTCCACAAGAATCACGAGGCTGGGGTGTTTACGGGCTGGGCCGCAGATTCAGCATCTCTGGCAGGAAGCGCGGGATGTCATGGTGTGCCAAAAACGGGAGCGAGTCTTCTTCGAAAGACAGGGTTGGCACCGTGGAGAAAAGGCCGAAGAATGTGGCGATGCTGAAGCGGCACGTGGCATCAATGTCCCGGGAAGAGACTTGGACCAACAGCGTATCAATCCCGTATTGTTTTCACACATCACTAATTCCTCCGCGCTTCGAGGAACTGTTCAGTACCTGGAGCGCAACGGCAAAGGAAAACGCCGCTCTGGCGTGGTATTGCTTCCCTGCTCGGCCCTGCAGATGTCGCACCCAAACCCTCCCAGCCCTAAATCCCGAGCGTTGGGCCAGGACTTTCGAAAGCAAGTACTGCGGCCAGCGACAGGGATTGACTGGGTGTGGCTGCTGCAGCTGCGTGTACGACAGGGGTCGTGAAGTTGAATAGATGAAGCATCGCAGCAAAAGAGGTGATGATTATGATGATGATGATGAGGGTCACGACCATGATGGGCATAAGAATTATCATAGCATCCTTCGCGTCGGAAATGTGTATAGAAGGAGAGAAAGAGATGATTATGCTGATGATGATGATGATGATCACCACCATCATGATGATACCTATCATCACGGCACCCTCTGCATCACCGTCATCATGATAACTATCATCGCAGCAAAAGAAATGATTTTGATGATGATGATGATGATGTTGATGCCCGCCATCATGATGATGAGAAGTATCATTTTAGCATCCTTTGCATCACCATCATGATGATGACAACATTGTAGCAAAGAATGATGGTGATGATGATGATGGTAATGATGGTGATGATGACGATGATCACCATCATGGCAAATGTCTAACGTCAGTATTGAAATATAAATATATGAACATAAGGGTGATAATAAAGTGAAAAATATCCTGAGACAATGGGAATATGTCTTTGATGACCCGGGCCGGCGAAACCCTTCAAAGGGAGGACGTTTGAATGGCCCAACCCTTGGTTTAGTTTCCTAGCGAGGTGCCAGCTGCCGAGCCTCCGTCACCTGAACTTTGGCAGCCGCTGCGTGGAGAGTTTGGTCTCCGCACGGCTGCCACATCTACAGCGGCTCGTTACAGCAAACACGAGTCCGGCCCCACGAAAGTTGCCCAAATCCTACATGGGCCTGTGTTTGGGAGGGTGATGTAAGGCTTAAGTCTTTAAAATGGAGTTGGGATGCTTTAAAACCAAGCGTAGTCATGGCTGTAGGAGTGAACATAATATTTATTCAGCATTGCCTCACATTTCCCTTTTTTGGGTTTGGCTTACCAGGAAACCAAACAAGAATATATAGGGTCGCCCTATGTTGACACACACACATACACCCACCTGAGCCACCTGTTCAAAACCAGTATTGGGTAGAGCCCGGATTTTGACTTGATGTTGTGACTCACCTTTCAACTTGTCGACTTTGCCTTTTCAACCCCACGTAACATGTCAAGGTCCCAAAAAGTTTTGCTACTTCCAGGTCGCAGGTGAGAACAACAAACGGGTAGCCTTTCTTTTCTCAGGACGCACTTGATTGCAGTTGTTTGGGCCGTGGATGTTCCTTTTCAAACCCTGAACAAGTTGGATTTGGGCAAGTTTGGGCTATGGAAACCCAATCCCCTTAGGTTTGTCTGGGAGAATAACCCATTATGGCCGAAGATCTTGGGGCGTGGGGGGAGGCTTGGGTTGATGTGACTCCACTTTGCGTGTTTACCCCTTACGGTGTTCCAGCTATACGTCCATTTGCTTAAGAATATGTTGTATTTGTCCTTGTTGGTTTTAAAGTCACTACTGGAAATATGTTGGTTCAAAGAGGCTCAGGCAATTGGAAGTATACTTCAGGTTGCTGAAGGAGTAGCGCAGATGACCGGTACTTTCTTGCGAACTTGCAAGACTGATCGATCGCCAAAATGCGATCGATTCAATGGAATTTTCGGGTGTGATTTTGGATCACGCACATTTAAGCAGGGTTGGGATGTGGGCATTTCATCAGCTTTTGTGCGGATGCTTCATTCCCACATTCCAATCGAATACAGCAGGCGAGCTTTGTTTAGGCTCAATGGTTTTCGGGCTTCCTTCGAAATGGAAACCACCAAAGGTCAGGGTACCTGGTTTTGCCAGAGTTGGTAAATGACTTGAAGCTCGAATTAGATGTGCCCTTATAGGGGGTTTGCCCTTATAGGGGGTTGACGCACGCCGTTTCACACACGAACAAACAAGGGTGCCTCTTCTACCACTGCCACGCTGAGGACTCTGGTTTGCCGCCACTCGGGCTACATCTTTGAGCAGTGCATGGAACGTGCTGAGCCCTTTTGCCGACTGCTGCACCTGGAGTGCGGCGACATCTCGGTGGGCTGCGCGTAATTCGGACCTCCGAAATCTCCAGGGGGAACCCATTCTGAACCTGACTCTTCCTTCTAAAAAAGCAATCGGGGGAAACAGCTGGATTGAACAGATCCATGGCCGAGAATGGGAAATGAATCTCCCCCTTTGGATTTTCTTCCAATTGTTTATAACTGGGCATGTCTCAAAATGGCCAGCCCCCAAATGGCTGGTGGTTTTTGACACCAAGCATTTGGGGCGCCGACTTTGAGACACGCCCGGGCAAGCACTGGGTAGGGTGCTTGAGGAACCTGCGCTCCGCAGGTGTGTTCCAGTTCCGCCAAGCTCGACGCTTGGTGCGAGGTCAACGTCGGAAACCCTACATGGGTGTCTCGTTTAAGAGCCCCACATCGTTGATTAGCGATGGTCGCAAGCGAAGCCTGAGTGGTCTACCGGCCCGGAAGTGTTTGCTGGTATTGTTCATGGCAAGGAGTTTCTGGCGGACCTCTCCGTTGGAATGGCGTTTCGCCTTCGCTTCTGCCAAACGCCCCGAAACCGATTTGCAAATATGGTTGAAACCGCGCTTGTTGCGCTACTTCCGTTGGGAAGTCGAGTCATTCCAGGGTTTCTGAACAGTGGTGCAATTTCTGGATTTCGCAACCATCCACAGTATGACATGAATATTGCGACGGACACTGAGTGTTCCCCAAGTGAAGAGGCTAGCCTTTGGGCTTAAAGCTGCGATTTGGGATCCGAAACGAAGCCCAAGCTTCGCACACACTGACGCGTGTGGAACGCGCCTAGGACGTAGATACCTCGCGGGGGCCATTGGCAGGGCTGCTGGTGGTGTACCGCATGCGCTCCTTGGCCACGCTATATCTCGCGAAAGGTTTGGGGAATGAACCGATGGATCCCTTTTCAACAAATCACAAGGCGATGGATGGTTCACAGGGGTGAGGAGTGTAGCTAGCAATACGAACAATACGAATTAGTTTTAACTGTGCGGGTGCCAGACGCCAAAGGAGGGCAATGAAATTGCTCAGGAGAAGGCTAGATGAAGCTGTGAATGGCCCTTCGCTGTTTGGCACTGCGAAGCGAAGGCTATGAACTTTCAGTCTTTCCCAAAGCCGATGAGCATAGGTGTCCTTTTCAGGCTAGTTTGATGAAAAATAGATGGCACTGGCTTAGATGGGTTTTATAAACCATTTACCAGGGCCATCCTTTTTCCCCAAAGGCCACCGATGCCAATGAGGGTCTAGCCACTCAATGCGGGCACGTAAAGTCAATTGGATCAGGTATGGTTAGGCTGAGCTAAAGTAAGTTGAGGTCAGCTGAGATCAATGAATGTGCGTGACGTTCAGGAGCAGAGCACACATTGAAGTCAACCAGTCATTCTGTTGAACGAGTGACACGGCTTAAGGTCAGATAAGCAAACATGATCCCAAGAGAAGCATGCAACTGAGATCATATGGCTGTGGGTCAAAACCAATGGTACCATTTTGGGGTAGGTGAATTCACCACCCATTTTAGTCTGTTTTAGTGGGGATTGGGTCCCGTTCACTGGGGGTACGGGCTTGGGATTTTGACCCATGGCCATACTTGATCCGTTGCTTCATTGGATGCTCACTTGCTTCCACATGTTGAATTGGCGGAAGCTTGGCCTGTGGAGATCTTCACTAGTGCAAGCTGAAGCCTTGGGAAGACCTGGGTACTGGTCAAAATTAAAGCACCAATAAACCGCAGGTCTTAGTCTTTGGTTTCATTTACCAGGATTCCCAAAACGGGTTCCTATTTTTGACCCACAGCCACCTGATAAAGTTTTCACGGGAAAGAGTTCCACCTCGTCCAACTGCGGAGACGTGGCGGCTTCGTGTTAAAGGATGCCCGAGCCAATCGGATAGCTTCCTGATTCCTTGTCCAAAAGGTCCAAGCCTCCTCTTTTGCCTCGTTGCGTTTGCCGTAGCAAGCGGGCCACGATCGGGATACGCTTCCTTGGGCTAACCCCTGGAGGATAGAAGCGGCGAAGCACAACGCAAACTCGCTCCTTGCAGGTCCCCTTCCCGGCCACTAACATGGAAGTGCACAGGTCTTCCACTTTGAGGAAGAAAGTCTTTCAAAGGTCGGCGCACTTTCAAGTTGGCAGGATAGGTTGGAAGTCTGGCTAAATCGCCTGCCAGACGTCAGCGTGTTGCCACTTTGGAAATTAACATGGAGCCCTGTTTCAGGGAGCCTGCAAAGTCTATTCCTCGAGCTCTAGCAAATGATAGATCATAGATCCTAGATTTGCTTTTTTCAGAATCTGAGCAAGCGTTAGCAACCGATTGAGGGCGAAGTGTGGGGGATCACGGGGCCAAACGAACTCCTGTAAACATATTTTGAATCGAACTTTCGTACAGCTGATTGAGAGATGTTGAAAGTGGCAAAAGCCAACGGTGTTTAGATGTTTCAGGATGGCTTGGGGTTGTTTTATATGGTCCAAGCACGTAAGGCAGCAAATAGTATTGACAACCATCAATGGGGTTAGTGGAGGTTCACTTGTTAGGTGATCAGGCTTCCTTTAAGGAACCGCAAAAACACACAATGTGTACGACGTGTTTTGGCGCCGGAAGAGAAACCGCAAGGTCGTTGAAGGTGTCACCCGCAGATCCGCGATCCGAAGTAGGAAAGCCTCACGAAGATTTGCCCAGCTTTTCATGCCCAGCCTAGGGAAACGGGGGGGGGAGGGGAAACAAATCCGGTACCCTAAGTTAGTAACTAGAGGCCTTCCAGTTTGTGAATGTCCTTCTTAGAGGGTCTGGGAGTTAAGTGGTTAGCAACCCTGGTTGTAACCCTACCAATGTTACCAACCATTTAGATAAGTCCCAGACCATCTAACCTGGAAACCAAAGTGGTTCTTTTTCATCCCTGGTTGTAACCCACTCATAATTCCCCATGGTCACCAAAGATTTATCGTCCAAGACCATCTACCCTTCCTCCCACTAACGTAGCATTTGTGGGAGGGTATCTGGAAGAACTGTTTCCTCTTAAAGGGACCCCCTGTCAGTTGCCATGTTTGTGGGAGGGAGGGTATCTTGGAGACCAAAGTCATCTTCTGCCCAACGGATTTCCTCAGGAGAGTCGCGGCTCTCAAAGCAGAGCGATCGAAAGCCCGTGGACGTGCCGATCCTCGGATATAGCCGGGCACCCGGTGACGGACACCCGACGGCTGGCGCTTTTTCGACCCTTTTTGGACTGGAAAACCACGGGCGGTTCCCGCAACACGGAGCGGGCCCGGTGCTTTTTGTGTGGTTTTCTTCACCATCTTGACCCCCCAAACGTTTTTTTCTTTTTCGAAGGACCTGTAAGCCGAAAGGTAAATGGCGGACAAACAACATGTTTGACCGGGTCCCCCCAACAAACAAATCCTTGAATTTGCTTGAAGCAACCCGGTACCGCAGGATTCCCTGAATCTTTCCCTTCACATGTTGGGTGGCAAGTTGTCGCTAAAATCAACCTCACGGGTTTTTCTGTGCCAAGTGCCATCGTCGCCTTCCACCTTCTGACTTGAATTGGGCTGGCTCGGAGCTTTCCTTTGGCGCTGCCGAATGTGGCTCGTACGAACGGGTTTGACTTGAGGTCTGCCCTGCGGTGGGAATACCTCAAAACTTTGCACGTTTCCTGGTCGGCAATCCTCCCTGTAACGTCATGATCGGAGCCTGCCAACAGTCTTGGCAGCGAAGCCAGCTGTTGCAAAATCAGGTAGCAGACTCGTTGATTTTCACTGATAGACCTGTTGTGAAATTGGCCCAGTCGCCAGATTCTCTTCCAAGAAAGGAAGCCCCCTCACTAAGCCCCAGTGAGGGATATGCCAAAGCAGGCAGAGCTCTCTTGAAATGGCCTGGGCTGGGGGTATGTGACTTCGACCCTTCGGTCGATGTCAGGCTATCAGGAGGGTGTCCGCGCCTGCGACTTGGTGGAGGCGACGGGATCGGGTTGTTGGCAAGGCGGATGTGGATTGTAAACGTATCCAGTTTGCATCACGGGTCCAACACCTTTTTCCAGTTTTGACCATTATCCCAGGTACAGGAACCAAAAAACAGTTGAACAAGACAATTTCCCCAGATTCTGAAAATGAACAGCGGCAAGTTTGGGCGTTCGGGAGGCTCGAGTCCATGGAGCTAAAGTGATCCGTCTGCCTATTTTACAGGCAGCTCATTTGGGGGTATCACGAGCTCACCATGGCTGGCTGGCTGGCTGGCTGGTTGGTTGGTGGTTGCTTTCCTTTCAAAAAGGCCTGAGAAAGAGGCAACCCCACGAGATGCTGGACTCGAGAACTTGCCAGGAGCTGGGCCATCACGGCAACAACACCAACAGCGCGCAGGCAGTGTGCGGGAGCTTCGGTGATTCCGGGTCACTCAATTTGCCTTTTGAACCTCCACGTTTGGGCTTTTTCACGGGAAACCACCAGCACAGTGCGATCTACCGAGGGTCATGTTTCAAGCGCGTGGATCGACCCGGGACCTGATGTGCCACTTTTCACGGTTTGTCGTAGGCGATATTTCATGGAAAGCGACACGCTGTCCTTTCATCAAACAGATTGTTCTCCGTTTAGCTGTTTGTTTGCCTTGGTTTTGTTTCAAGTCCCTACAAGTTAGTCGCTTTTAGAGGGGATCTGAAACGGACAGCCCAGTTTTGTAAAAGCAAAACTTGCTGGTGCTCAGCAGGGAATGAGGGAATGACCCTTGTAAACCATTCCTTGTGGTTTCCTTCAAGGGGACTCCTGGGTGCGTTCCCTCATTCCCTACGGAGCAGCAAGCAAAAACATGTTTTTTTTGTAACAAGTTGGAGTTTGGACCAGTTTTCTCCACCATACTTTCGCCTTTCGGATGGCACGTTTTTCCGAAAGGAGATCCCAGAGGAAAAGCTGTTGATCTTCCCTGCGGGCGCTATCCTCTTCCGTTTGAAGAGAAGATGTTGCACCTATTTTGCCCTGTTGGTTTTGAAGGGAATCGATTTCACTGGAAATATTGCTTTCTGTTCCAGGGGATAGTAAACGCAAGTGG